TCCTTTTTCATGTACTGTCATTTAAAACCTGACTGTGTTGATAAGTGAGGAATGGGTGTATGTTCATTACCACACAGCTTGATAGTCAACACAGGCTGAAGTGAATTTATCAACTCCAAAGATTTTCCTTCACCAAGGGCTTCAAAAGAAGAGAGACTGAAGTGATAAGATCTAAAACAGCTTCCTACCACCATCTTGCTACCAATCACACACTCATCTCCATCATCTAATCCCTTTAACTGACTAAAGCCTATGTCAAAACCATCCTTCTCGCTAGGGGGGAGGACATAAGTAATTAACATTACCTCCATGACTACAACCATGTGAAGAAGTATTACAATTACTATCCTATAGATGGGGAAGAAGACTCAGAGCAATATATGAAATCGGTAAGGTTTGAGAACTGGAAAGTCAGATACTGGTATTCAAACTAAGGGCCATCGGACTCAACAACTCATGCTCACCCACCAACTCCAATCTCTCAACTCCTTCGCACTGGTTTCGAGTACTCAGCATTCATAAATTTCACTTTGGACTTTAATGTCTATTGGCTTACAGCAGTACCACCTTCTCTGACCTCTGAACTCCCTCTTTCATACCAGGAGAAAAAAAATACGCCATTTATTTTCAACTTTCTTATACCTAGGCTTTCTTTTCTCTCCTTCACCAAATCATTCTCAACTCAGTTGTAAGTCCATACTTAAGTATTCTATGCCACATGCTATCCCTAGAGTACAGAGGGTAAAAGGGCATCCATACTTTAAGTACACTGGCTTACTGGCTTACAGACTCTAACATGCTGCTCCCTCCCCATACACAAAGCTCATTAGCGACTCAGCTGAGTTCATTCTTCCAGGGCAGGGAACAGATAAGGCATTGGTCAACCACATCCTGTCTATCTTGCCCTTTTGGTATAAAAATATTTTCTCTTGTTTTTTAAAATATGAATGTATATTGCCAAATACCCCCTTCAAAAAAAAAATCAAAGATGTTATATAAGCTATGAGCTCATGAATGAACTGAATTTTTTCTATGTATTATTTATGGGGTTATTTAATGCTATGTAACACACCACCTCATAACTTATTGGCTTAAAACACCATGGCCATTTCTTTTGTCCGGGGTTTGGCATCAACTGGCTGGCTTAAAGGCCAGGGTCTAGAGTCCTCCAAAGGCTTGCGTACTCAGGTGTGTAGATGATGCTATCAGGCAAAGCCTCAGCCGGGTGCTGGGCGCTGGAGCCCCTTCACATATCTTGAGTGTCCTCACAACATGGTGGCTGGGCTCCTGGGTCAGGTCTCCCAAGGATGAGCCGGAAAGAAGTCATACCCCTTCTCTAACCCTATTTCATAAGTCACACAATGTCACTGCCACCAAATCTTATTTACTTTAAGTGAGCCGCCATGGCTGGTCACTAAGGGGGTACAAATGGTTAAGCTCTGGACTACTGACAAAAGGCTGGAGTTTCAAACTCACCCAAGGCACCTTGTAGTAAGGCCTGGAGACCTGCTTCTGAAAGGCCACTGCCCTTAAGACCCTAGGGAGTTCTATTCCGTACATACGTAGTCGCCATGAGCTGGAGGCAGGTCCACATTTAATAGAAGGGGAGCCCAGATGTTCCCTCTTAATGGTGAGCATCAAAATCACCTAGAGAGCTTAAAAAATTCCATTGAAATTGAATTTCAGTCTCTCTGGAACCCCAAAGCTAGTCTTTTCTAATGCTTCCCCAGGCGGTTCTAATGAACAGTCGAGGTTGAGAACCACGGCATTAAGATAAGCTCTGAACTTTGTTCCAACTTTAAAATTGTGAATGAGTGTGTATCCTCCTCCCATTTCAGGAGAGGGGGAGGATTAGAAGACTTAAAACAGGCAAGGCTTTGCTGTGGAGGAGTACACACAAACCATAAGCACAGGTATATTTTACATGGACACACATAGGTAATACACTTTGCAAGATCTGAAATCAGGTTGCCTTATAACTAATACTACTGCTGACACAGGGCATTGAGATCTTACTGTCCATGAACATCAACACTGAGCAATAACAGAATTTGAGAAAAGACCTACACTCTTCCAGAAGCACCCATGCCCTTGTTGGCTCATACCAGTCCATTCTGGTCTACCCCTTAAGAGAGTTTATAGCCAAGTTATTATCCATGCAGCATGAAGAGGATGGGATCCACAGGGCTCCCACAAACCCTTTGAGGGTTTGATCCACATAAGGGAAATAAGGAATGCAAATCTGGTCCTTGCAATTCAAATTTCTAAAGTCACAAATGGGTATAAATGTACTACTTCCACTGTTAAATGGCTGTGTCCTAAACCAGTGATTTTCATGACGTGGTCTGTCTGTAAAGAGCCTCCTATGGCTCAAGATTATCTAACTGTTGCATGGACTGGTCTAACAATATACATTTAGTCAACTTTCCATTGCAATAATTATTCCCTACATTAAAAGCCTTAAGAATGAATATTTGAAAAATGTAGCCACAATGATGATGATTTACTTGGCTACTAACTTTACACCATTCGCTTTTTTAGAACATTGTAAAAAGGGAGTAGGGAAAATACGTGGGTTCTAAGCTTTCTCTCTCACCCAAAATTTGATGCAAGTTTAAAAAAAATTAACAGTAAAAAACCTTTCAGCTGGTAACACTTGTTTCTATGTTTTAAAATTGATACATTTGCACAGGCCCATGAATTAATCTCTTGCTTAGAAACCTAAGTGAAAGCTACACATTGATTACCTCCCTCAAAGTTTAGCAACTAGTCTCTTGATTCTACCTTAGTGTATGTTTGTGATATGACAGAAGTTATACAGTCAAGGATCCCATACCCTGGCTAAAGACTGTCTTGGATTGACACACATATACACATTTGATAGTTTATTGTGCCAGCCTGGCTGATAAACACAAGTGGGATTAACTGAAGGGCAGAGAGAAAAATGGCTTGGTGAGCCTCACCTTTCTTGTCTCTTGCTCTTTGATCATCGGACCAGTGTGCGGCTGCCTTGCTTGTTCTGTGCCTCAATTTAAAGGCTACACTACCTGTGGGACACCTAGCCTGTGGACTGTGTCGCTGTAAGTTGAGGTCCCTTTAAGACATCTCTGGAGCTGAGGACTGGTGTTGGTGACCTGCCTTATGATTGGCTGCTGTGCTGACATAGCCTAGCTCTCTCTATAGAGGAAGATCTGGCAGCAGACTAGACTCGAAGGACTGCTAGTCTCTCACAACTCTCTGTCACGGGAGTGAGTTGCACTGAGCCATTTTTAGTGCTTTATAATTTAACCGTTCATTTCATTTTTTTTTTTTAACATTTTATTAGGGGCTCATACAACTGTTATCCCAATCCATACACACATCAATTGTGTAAAGCGCATTTGTACATCGTTTCTCAAAACATTTTCTCTCCATTTAAACCCCCAACATTAGGTCCTCATTTTTCCCCTCCCTCCCCGCTCCCCCCTCCCTCATGAGCCCTTGATAGTTTATAAATGGGTATTTTGTCATATCTTGCCCAGTCCGACGTCTCCCTTCATCCACTTTTCGGTTGTCTGTCCGTTCATTTCTTGTATTATATATTTATCTGTATATGATTTAACAGTTCATTTCTTGTTATATATCTAATTATCTTTATAAATAAATATATTATCAGCAACTTGGTTTTATCTCTCTAGAGAACCCTGTCTAACACATTTCTTTAGTATTTAAAAGATGTACTACACCTTAGTAAAGGATACTCCAAAGACCAACCAGATCAGCACTTGCCAAAGTTTAAAGCACGTCTGAATCACCTGGATCTTGTTAAGCTGCAGATCCTAATTCAGAAGTCCTGGAGGGGCCTGAGATAAGGCATTTCTAACAATGCGCCCAGGTGAGGCTGTTGCTGTTGGTCCCCAGACTTACTCTGAACACAAAGATATTGGATAACCCCAGAAACCCCCAGGAGGGCTCATATTCTTATAGAAATATTAAATAACAAACAAAATTAGATTAATCCCTAGATTCAGTAATATGCATAAAAAGTATTTCTCGCTGCCAAGTAACACTTCACAGCAGCTCACCTGACCTGAGTTTTCTTTCTTACAAATAACATGTCATTTTTCCTGCTCATCACAGAATTTTAAAAGGAAAATGAATGGGATATCTGAGATTACTGTATGAACAAATAATATGGTATAAAATATTATTTATTATATTATATGCTATTATATTATATATAATAGCATAATATATTATTATGCTATTTTGACCTCTCAAGTTATCCATGATCTCAGTTACGGACTAGAATTCTTAAAGATTTGGAGACTACTGAAGGTCATCTTTCTTCAGAAACAAAAAATATACATTAAGTTAACAAATCTCTGTGCGGACAGTAAACGCCTGTGGATCAACTTCCAGGAAATACCACTTCTCACCTATGTCCTAGCCAGTGTGACCAGTTCTGAACAGTGGTATAACCGGGCAAGTCCTGACATATGTTAGGGCATTTGTTATCCTTCTCTTCAATCTTAATAAGAAAAATACACACAACACTTTTGTCTGAATCGCCATGAATTCTTTCGTCTGAAATGCATGCACCTATTTAAGAGAAATGCTTGAAAGTGAGAAAAGGCTCTCGCGTAGCAGTGAGGGACTAGCAACAGCAGCTTTGCATTGAAATATACAGGATGAGGCTGAGTCTATCCATGCTCTGTTTTAATTTTAATTCTAACCCTGCTCTCTCCGAGGTAAACAGGGGAGATGTGGAAGCACGGACTAGGTCCCATGCTCAGCATAAACCAAACATACCAGTACCACATATCAGTACCACACCATCAAGATGGGCTTTCTGCAGGGCACATTTGGTGGTTCTTTTTCCTCAGAATGCCACCACTCCCCAGCCTCCCAACGTTCTCCGTCTTTAAAGAGGTAAGGTTCACCCCGAGAACAACAACACAGTTTCCTGCAACACTTCTTCCCCCTCTATGAAGCAGCTATTTGTTTATAGCTCGACTCACCGCAAAGATTTTGAGCAGGGTTTTCATGTAGAGCTTTCTGATACCAAAAGAGACTCCAAAAATGGCTGGGACTATGATGAAAACGAGGAGGAGGGTGAAAAGGACAGTCAGGGAGATGCCCAGCAGGTTGACAATCAGGCTATCAAAAGGCAGCAACAAGAACATGGTGGAGGATCCAGGCGCGGCCAGTGCCGTCCTCTCAGAAAACCAACCCGAGCCTTCAAATGGTCCTCTCCGACAGCACCAGCCTGGGAAAAGAAGCAAGTCCCCAAAGTATAACCAACTCCATTCCAAAGTTCACATCATTTGACTGAAGAGACAGGCTGAGAGTCGGGCGAGGGTAGAAAAGAGCCGCAGGAGGCAGCCTCCAATGCCAGGCTGCCCCAGGATAGGTGGCTTTGGAGATGAATGTGGCAGGATCGATCTTCAGGAGAAGCATCCGAGTCCAGACTGAGGGTCTGAAAGAGAGCGCAGCCAGGGAGGGTTCTCGGCGCTGCTGGCCTCACGCTGCTTCCAGAGGTTTTACAATCTCCCTTGCTCAAGAGCATTTAACTGGGCAATCTGTCCAGCAGATCTGTCGTTGCCAGAATTACCAAGAAAAGTTCAACTTGGTGCCAGAAAGCTCCTGATAACTCCAGTCAAGGGGCGTGACTGCTGGCGCTTCACACAGAAGGCAACTGCACTTGAATATGTAGAAGTTAAATAATTGTTTTACTTAAAATTTCTTCATAAGGTGAAAATCATGTTCATTGTAGAGAGTTCACATCTGGCCCCATTCTTCCTCTGGAGAGGCCCCCTGGGCCTTCTGCTTCCAGGACCCTCCTACCTGGAGAGCTACGATCTATTCCAGTAGGACACAGAGGCTCGCACGGAGTGGCTCATGCTGCCTGCGAGGAGTGTAATTCCAATCGCGTCTGGCGTTGCTTCCCTCTGGATAGTCTTCTCCCTAAGGGGCGGTTTACAGCGGTGACCTGGGCTCTTGGCAAGAAGGTGTTCACATGCTGCCAAAGCTGAGTGGGAAACAGAAACAGTCAGTTCACCAAAGCATGAGTAGAGACGTCAATGTGCTCGGGGAGACGGGGTAGAGGGCACTGTTTGAGGGTGAGCCTAAAGTCAGTTCCAGCTTCTGAAGTCATTAAGGTCAAGGAGACTGAAGTGGCGGGGCAACAGGTGGTAGACAGGGGTGTGAGAGGAAAACACACAGATGTTTCATATGATTTTCAGCTCGTGATATGATCTATGCCCACTCACATGTTCTCAATGAGTATACTCACCCAAAGTGGCCTTAAAGTTCATGAAAAACTTACATTATCATTCAACTCCATTACTGCATGAAGTTTTTGAAGCCTCCCGTGTATACACACACACACATTAAAAAAACAAAAACCATACATGCTTTAATAGTAAATTTCCTTCCCATCTCAGTTGTTTACCCAGAATTCTCTTCCACATTGTATATTCTATACACACACACACACACACACACACACACAC